CAGAAACTTCCCCCAAGATCATACCCGCAATTGTCACATCATCATTGCCCAAGCAATTATGGCATAAGAGCAATTGCGCTCTTCAGACAGACACCTGTTAGTGGTGGCACTAGTGGCATTCACACCACATAGACTTGCCAGCATTTGCCAAGCTGGTGGAAGTAACATGAAATATGAAAAGTATTAAACAATTCAAAACCTTAACCCAATGCCGACGGGTATGACATGTACGTACGTGCTATGCCCACTGTGAGTACTTGTTTGATTGTTTTTAAACATAGATAGCAATACTTGTACTAAGTCACCAAAGAGCCCGTTACAAGTACTGCCTGTCTCGCCCGTTTACCCTTTTCTTTGATTTACGAAATATTTTAAGTTACCTCATTTTGCTGTTACTTATGTTAGAAAACATTATAATAATTATAATGTTTATAATAAAAATAACACCATTGATATTCATAGCACTAGTAAAAAATACATTTCTCCCGCAATTTCAAATCAGGCACTAGCAGAGCCATCTATGGGCAGACATTTCACAAAAAATATAGAAAATAGGCACAGCATTTTCACCATTTTTTGTTAATTTTCCCCGGTGGCATTGGGGTTAAATATATCTTCTTTGCTTGAATTATCAGACATCATCATTACCATGGAATTTATTTAGAACTTAAGTTAGTTACTTAGATCATACATAATATTATGTAAGCAGGGATACCAATATCAGGTCAAGTTTACAGCACTTTTTCCCACCATTTTTGCTGTCATATCATATTGTTAAATTAGAAAAAGTAAATTAATTTTTTTAGTAAGTGTACATACAAGCCATCCCCAGTAGAATCAGTTTAATGGTTACTTGGCCCTCATTTCAAGATTATCCTATCTGTACAAGTCCTCTTTGGAGACTTCAAGCATGATAGTATATAGGAAGAATAGCATTGTAAATGACAAAGACAAGTATGAATAAAATGGTATCATAATCTTCCAAAATCCATGAACAAAATCACATATAATCAATGTTCACAACAGATTTCTGCTAAGTCAGCAAAACATTACTACTTACAAAACCACGTGTGTATTGATTAAGCAGGACATTCTTCTCATCTGTGCAGGCTTGGGCAAGAGCCTTTCGGACAGTGTCTGGAGCTGCAAAGTCAGGGAACCCTTGGCCTAAGTTGAGGGGTTTCACCTCCAGCGCCAGTTGGATGAACTCGACCCTTGGGAAAGACAAAATAAAGGAGACCAGTTGATGGTATGTTATAAATATCTGTGGATATTGATAGAATGCATAAATGGCTAGCATGAACCCTTTCATCAATAGCGTAATGCCAAAGTCAGCTTTAGGCTGTAAGCAAGTTTCCTGTCCTCTGAACCCATCAACGCCTTTTATTGGGTTGGAGGTGTCACTGGTCTGGGAAGATTTCTTATGAAAACCTCTTAATTCTATTTTCCTTTTATGATGTAGGAATAGCAACTCTCTTTGGATCATTAGATGGGACCATATTGAGAGTGTTAAAGGAAGTTCTAGGTTGAAGAAGCAGATAATTATAACTAGGAAGAAATTGAAGAAAATATAAGGTTATTTTCCCATTATCTTTGTAAATAAAGCTACATCTTCCACATGAAACAACCTCTTCCAGCATTCTTAGAGTGCAACTGATTTTACCATCATTCTCAACACTTTTTTATTTGGCTACTTAACCCCTTAATGAATGCAATTAAATCTCACAGAGGAAAAACAAAATCAGTATGGTTTTTTGGGTACATTTCTCTCTCTTAATATCGATCACTCAAATTAAGTCACTTAAAAAATAACTACAACATTTAAACATGGGTGAAGCATGTGTACTGCTCTATTCAAAACATACTTCCTAAAATAATAGTTTTGTAAATGTATATACTTACATGAATATCTTTAGTTGTTTATCTAAAGATAGAAAATAGAGAGAGAGAGAGAGAGAGAGAGAGAGAGAGAGAGAGAGAGAGAGAGAAAATGAGAAAGAGTGAAAGAGAGATAAAATGACAAGGGTGAGAGAGAGATAAAATGAGAAAGAGTGAGAGAGAGAGAGAGAGAGAGAGAGAGAGAGAGAGAGAGAGAGAGAGAGAGAGAGAGAGAGAGAGAGAAAAAATGAAAAAGAGTGAAAGAGAGGGAGGGAGAGAGAGAGAGAATGAGAGAGAGAGAGAGAGAATGAGAGAGAGAGAAAGAGAGAGATAGAGAGAATGAGAGAGAGAGAGAGAGAGAGATAGAGAGATAGAGAGAATGAGAGAGAGAGAGAGAGAGAGAGAGAGAGAGAGAGAGAGAGAGAGAGAGAGAGAGAGAGAGAGAGAGAGAGAGAGAAAATGAGAAAGAGCGAGAGAGATAAAATAAGAGTGAGAGAGAGAGAGAAAGAGAGAGATAAAATGAGAAAGAGTGAGAGTGAGAGTGAGAGTGAGAGAGAGAATGAGAAAGAGTGAAAGAGAGAGAGAGAGAGAAATTGAGAAAGAGAGAGAGAGAGAGAGAGAG